GTAAAACATTAGGAAGTGAAACTAAACCCTAAAACACAACAGGCTTTAGATGAAATAAAAAATATAAAAAGAAGTTTTATTAAATGAACATGTTAAATAAGAAATCAAAGTCTTCTTCTAACAAACCATTTTACCTTTAGGGGATAAAAATAGTGAGAATGTGAATATTTTTTTACTCTTTCTTACATTGGGAGTGTTGGCGTTTAAAGATAGTATGTCTATTGATTAAGTTTCTTTTTAAATATTATTTTCTAAAACTTAGTTTCAGACCAGTCAATATAACTAATAGATTAATGTTACAATGTTTTGATCTGTAACAAAAGTAGACTTAAAAGAAAAAATAACTTCTAACAGACAGTTATTTAATTCATTTCTGCTTTATTGGAATGATATATAACTTTGATCTTATACTAAATTTGCTTTAATGTCTTATACAAAAAAATATCGGCGACCTTAACTACAGCTTCAAAGGGGTTAAAAAAAATAAAAAATAGTAAATAGTATTAGTGCTTAACATAATTGGGGTTTAATAAAATAAAAAATCATAACAATGTATAATAACTGTATAGATAGCTCAAAACAACAGATAATATTGATAATCCACTAGACGCTAAAGTTATTGACAAGTGTAGTAATTCTCTTCTACTTTGCAATTGTGTAAGGAAGAAAGTAAGAAATTGACTTTCGTTATAAATTCTTTTTCTAAATAAATTTTTTTCATGATGATTACAAGACAGGAACATATTTTTAGAAAAGCAAGTTAAATGCCTACATTGCCAAGAAAAGATGAAGTCGGTAGACCATATGGCTACTCAGTGTGATAGAATGCTTGCACATGATTATATGAGACGCCATAATGAAGCATTAAGATGTGTACATTTACAATTATGCATAAACTATGGACTTAAATCGTGCAAGAGATCAAGAATCATACCTTGCAAGATCTGGTTGTAAGCAAAGATCTTGAAATAAGAGTAGACAGTAGAATCCAAGCTGATATGTTAATCAATTATAATAAGCCAAATATATTCATTGTGGATAAAATAAGAAAGGAGATTACAATAGTAGAAGTTGGAATTACTGGATTTGAAAATCTCCACGCTTTTGAGACAAAGAAGAAACATAAGTATGATCTCCT